AAAGAGGGGGGGAAAGAAGATAAAAAGAGGGGGGAAAAGAAGAAAAAAGAGGGGGGCAAAGAAGAAAAAAGAGGGGCAAAAGAAGAAAAAAAAAAGGAAAAAAGAGGAAGTCAGAAGGAAGTCTGGAAATGACAAACCATGACAGTGATAAGAAACCGAGCCATTTTAATCTACTAAAATGGCATGAATAGCTTAAAAAGCTAGGCATAACATCCGCCATGAGTTCTTACGTCGCCAATTCGTTTTATAAGCAAAGTCCCCCCGTTCCTGCCTATGCCATGCAAAGTTATGGAAATTATGGAAGTGTGCCTGAGGTTCAGTCCCCCAGGTACCGCTACGGGGGCTTGGATCTGAGCGTCACCCTCCCCTCCTCCGGGGCTGCCACCTCCCTCGGTGCCTTGGAGATGTCTGCGACCCCCCGAGCTAACCCCGAGCGACCTTCCTGCACGGTCATGGGTTCTTCGGGGCATCCTTTAGCCAGAGACGATCAAGCATCCCTAAATCCCGGGATTTACAGTCAGAAGAGTGTTAACACGCCGCTGGAGGAGAGATCTAAGAGCTCGGCTGAAATCAAAGCCGAGCCCGTGCAAACAGCACAACAAGGAGGACCCCAACTGCAGCAGCAGCAACAACCTCCACAAATTTACCCCTGGATGACCAAACTACACATGAGCCATGGTAAAACTTTCGCTTCTTGATTTTTTTTTTTCTCTCTCTTTTTTTTTTTTTTTTTTTTTTGCAGCACTTTTTTTTTTATCTTTTTTTTTTTTTTTTTTTTTTTTTTTTTTTTTTGCCTTGGGTTTTTATAGGCCATACGGGGCAAATAATAAAAAACCTGAGGTCGTAAATTTTACGACTAAGGCATCAATTGCTCGTAAAACTGTCCACTAAAAGGCTTAGAGGCTATATACGCCCAAATTTATGACAGCATAATTGGATCATAGAAACAAAACGTGTATAAAAGGCAATATTCCATTTTTTTGGGAAGGGGGGGTTAAAAATAACTTGAAATACACATGTTCTTTGAGGGTGAGCTTTTAAAAAAAAAAAAAAGAAAAAAAGACACCAGCAGCGAAAGGGAAGGAAAGCGTGGAGAGATTCTTTTCCCCCCCCCACTTCCCAGGGCTTGACGGGGGGGGGGGGGGAAAAGAGAAAAGACCCCCAAAAAAAAATATTTC